TTAATGGCACCGGGTACTTGAAATGGTCGACCCCTCCGCAGCGCCCACCAATGTTGCTCAAGGTTTAGCGTTCATACTTGAGCAATTGTCCATTGAAAAGCCATTATTGCACATGTCTGGGGCGCCATAACAACACGTATATATTGCGCATGTGCGTCTTTTACAAGAAAATGCATGCATAAGTCATTCTAAGGACCATATCGCTTATACCACTGCGCTGACCATGCAACGCTCGCACGAAAGGGCGAGTGTTTCCAACGTTTTGCTAAGACGAGTCGGCGGTGCACTTAACCGTCGTATTGCGTTCTACACCTTATCACCTCTGAGGTGGGCGCGCACACACATCTCAGGGCCACGCGCTTCGTTTTCCAAGGAAAACTGCCAGATAGCGCTCATGTCTCACGTGGGACGTGACTTGATGCGCTCGTTCGCCTCCGCTGCACGCTCGAGGCACTCTAACGCAGCGCCTCCAGAATACCATTCACCGAGTTTCTTGCGCAGAACATCAAATAAATGTTTCGTTTACTCTCTCCACACGCAGGACGATCGTCTTTCGACGACATTTGCAGATTAATGTGCCAATACGGGGCCAAATTTTTTTTCAGGATTTCTTTTTTTCTTATCTTTTTTTCTTTCTTGTCAGAGGTTTTTGTAGCATATACTCCATCGGCGATAATTAAGTGTCCACGGCTCTCGAAAACGTCGCCGAACGCTGTCCTGCTTGACTTGACACTCGCCGGCTTAATTCCACCGCTACCTGTATATCGTTTTTTTTTTTTTCGAGATACGACTGATGGTAAGACTGCGTTCGGAACAGAGGAAGCTCTTGAAGCGGGCAGCTGTTCAAGCTCCGCGCATCGGATGATCCAATGTCGAGGCATGGAGATCGGCTGTGTGCCAGATCGGTGCGACACGCCGAGTCACACCGCAAACAGCGGTATAGCAACAAACATTTGTGGCAGCTGCGAAACAATAGTGAGCCACAGCTGGAGAGAAAAATGATAGAGAAATAAGTTACGAATCGCACGTGCAGATATGCCGCTCCGGGGCACGTGTAACAACAGTAGCGAGCCTGCGGCCCACGTAATCTTCCAGAGATGCTTCCTATCAGTTTACTGTGCCAGAATAACAGTATTGTGCTGCCGCGAGGGGAACATATTTGGGTGAACATTTTTTTTACAAATTTTCTGTTGCAAGGACACTTTTTTGTGTGTTGAATAACTGCACATGTGTGTTCTTCTATCTACATTTGTCCATCATGCAAGAGAAGAGGTGTCGCCGTTGCCACGCATATGCACCATCCTCTCATTACACATATATATACAATTAAAAAAAAGACAGGCATTCTATGACGTCATTACCGAGGTCACAGTTGGCATCAGTTACAAACACTGCATATCAACGAGCAAGAAGCTCGTTCGTACGTGCACGCGAAAAGCGGCTGGATTCTTGGCTGCATACGACACGGGGCATAAAATACGTGATTCGCATTCGGCTATCTTGTGTGTGCTGTAGGCCCGTGTGCTCAGATTTGGGTGCACGTTAAATAACTCCAGGTGGTCGTAATTTCCGGAGCCATCTACTACGGCGTCTCTCATGGTGGTTTTGGGACGTTGAACCCCACATATTAATCAATCAATCAAGCTTTCTTGTGTGCAGAACACACAGGCACGGATGCACGTAAACTTATGCCCATTACATTTGATGTGCATTCTGTGCTAGTGGATTATTGCATAGTCCCCATGTCAGCTTTCTCGTCTTTTCCCTGTGCTTCCGCTTAAATATCTGTTCATTGAGAGTCGACTGAAGTTTTGGCGCAACACTGGTATGATTTGTAATTCTGACTTTTTTTGTTATTTTAACCGTTATGATTTTGCGTGAACGAGTATTAGTTTTCACACCCTTCTCTGCTGTAATCTCTCATGAGATTGGCAGTATCGTTGAAATAAATAATAAATAAAAAAATTAATAAATTATGCCTATATTCTTTACCGAGATGATTTTGGGGCCACATTACACCAGAATTAGGTGTTAAATAAAAGACGTTTATTCTCTCTCTCTCTCTCTCTCCAGTGAATATCAGTGGTCGGTCACAAATACACGTGTGCCGCAGGTTTCGCCCTCTGCATGTCACGGCCGTTTCGTATGAAAAAGGTTCGATAAGCGTTAGCCAAGAAATCTGCGTTCTGAAAGACCAACCAGTTTTGCCTTAACGCTCAAGCTAAGTCGGCTGTCATAGTGGGCGATCTGCCGAAGAGCATATAACACGTGTGCACATACGCGATTCCTTGCTTCCGCTGTGAACACAAATTAACAATTGTCGCCCCCGACCTAGCGGTTATATAGCTGTTGCAATACAGGTTTGTCGTGAAGCTATGGCAGCCCACTTATTACTTTGCTTCCTCAACATTATTTGCCGGCGCTTGTTTGTAATCTATTGCTCTACTTGTGTGGGAGCACGTTTAATCAACTTGTTCCGATGCCCCGATTTGAGGGGCCGCTCTTATCTACGCTTTCAAAGCGTCGCAATTGCTGCCGCCACGTTTAGGTTGATGCGGTGCCAATCAGATGACGTTCCACCTCGGAAACAATCTCCGTAATCCTCGAGGTGAGCCTCAAAGAGCTTGGCCAAATGATTCTGTTCAGGGGCATAACCAGAAATATTTTTTCGGCATTTAATAGGGGGGGGGGGGGTCATTGTCCTTGACGTATGTTCGTGGTTGTGCTTGTATGTATATATAAAAGTGCACAATAAAATATTTTCGAACGGGAAATGTTTACTTCCCCCCCCCCCTCCTTGCTGTCCCAAGGATGACTGTCCCATTCTCAAAGTTTGGGGTTTATTTTGCAGACCCTTCTATGAAAAAGATGAAGCTCCTATTTTCTTGACCATTGCACGGGAGTACCAAGGTGACGTCACTGCCTCGACAGCGTATTGTGGAGAAGTCACGCACGTTTCCATCAGCCCAGAGGAGAATATGGAGGCCGCGGCAGTCATAAAATTGTTGTTGAAAAGCTGCCTAGTTATCTTGCGGCTAGAGCCCGGCAATACTCGATAGTAGCGCCCCAAGTGGCTCGCAATAAAATGTGCTGTGTTAAATGCTAGGGAAATTCTGGGGTACCACGTGCTATTATTGAGGTGCGAGTATGAGGTACACCGTAGGTGTGGTCTCTGTCTGGGCCGTAACAATGTGTAGGTAATGGGGCGTGGGGGGTGGCGGTAATGCAGAAAGGTAGCGGTTCAACCCCTCCCCCCCCCCCCCGAAAAAAATTCTTGGGCACTGCTCTGGTCTCCGGATCCGGAATGACCATCCGGGGTGCTTTACTTTGAACCTAAATCTAAGTAAACGGGTGCGCATTTCAACCTCCATCGAAATTGGAATTCGCCCACCTCTGCTTTGCAGTGAAGCACCAGTAGTCGACAAGACACCATGGTGGGTAAGTATCAGTTATATCTCATGCGTTTGGTCGAGGCACCCAATAAGCGGATGTAATGATTAAGACGTTGTGGGAATGTTCTCCTGAAACAATGCTGGGTAGGCTATGTTAGAATCCATTAATAATGTGGTAGCATTCTTACGTCATTTTCGTTATATCCGTGACTTCGTTGTATCTGTACTGTATCGCTGTATGGGCGTAAGAAAGGATTAAAAAAAGCACGCCTGTTAAAATCCACCACGCAAGCACGAACGCAACTTCATTGCTTTACGCTAAGCCGAAACCACGACCACATAATTAGAGCGGCAGCGCTTGATGTATACGATGCATTTCTTGCCACACGTGAAGTGGACCTTTGTATATCATAACTAGCGTGACTCACTTTTCCAAGCGACTTCATATACCCTTTTGTTCGGTCGTTAAACGGTGGATCATGCAATTATTACTTTTTATTGCTGCTTAATGAACTAGGCCGCGTAGTTGCGAGCATTTCGCGCGGCGTGCGCAACTATTGAGCACATAACGCAACCTCGCTAACGACTCGCTCATTCGATCGCTTGAAAGGCGTTTGGAGACCATCCAAAGTGAGTGAGTCACGATAACGGGCCGTGATGGCTCCCCGTGGCAGATGGAAACAAAGATAACAATGTACGTCCTTAGTCATAAGGGCGTATCGAATGGACACACGCTCGCTTATGGAACATGTCTTCTGTGTAATTTATTTATTTATTTGTTTGTTTATTAATTTATTTACAGAATAGAGTAACCGCACAGAGGGCCCATGCAGCAGCGGCGGAACTACGTAAGACTGGGTCGATCGATCGATATGTGGGGTTTAACGTACCAAAACCACCATATGATTATGAGAGACGCCGTAGTGGAGAGCTCCGGAAATTCCGACCACCAGGGGTTCTTTAACGTGCACCCAGAGCTGAGCACACGGGCCTACCACAACACTGGGTCGTAGACAGGATTTTTTTTTTTTTCGAGGGGGGGGGGGGGGTCAAATATTTTTATGTATGTTAGTGCGTGCGTTTGTATGTTTGCGTGTATTTATTACAAGCAATTTTTTTTTTCTATGAGGGATACCCCCCCCCCCCCCCACATCCAAGCATGTGTTGGAAATGTCATTCGTCGGAGTTCACTTCAGGTGACAACTTTGCACGTAACTGGTATACAGCCATATCTATACAATAAACGCGTTTTTTACCCTTAATTTTCAGCGTGGACAGGACTTATGGTGCAGTCCACTTATGGTTGCTAAAGTACTTTCCTCTTCCTTTCTTTATTTCGAAAAGCCATTATTACGAAGTAAGCTTTGACAAACGAGCATGTCATCGTCAACTCCTAGCGGAAAACAATTCAACCCCTAGGATGACGCAGGTGAATGAAGGGTCCACGTAGAGCAAGACCGGTTAGCTATACATGCTTGTGGTTCAGCGCAAGCTCACGAACTCGTTACGGTCATTCGGTCCATAGTCACCGTTAATCTGCGTAAGCGGGGATACCCGAAAGAGATTTTCCCGTTCGGTACGACCACGTCGGAGTGTTGGTTTTCTTACCTGGGTGCGCGGCCATCTCCTCGAGCATCTTGTTCCGGAAGTCTTCCAGAAGGAGTCGGGTAACGACGAAGTCGTGTTCCCCGAATACTTCGTCCCCCGGCCTGCTGTGCGACGGCATGGCGATGGCGATCCTACGCGCGGCGGTAAAGCTGGTTGGTACGGCGAATCCTTTGTGTACGGCTGGGTGCGTGTTCGTTGCACTTGGTTCTCCAACACCTCTTTTTTCTTCACGCACCCTGTACAGCTTCCGTAGAGCCTGTCCTCTGCTAATCCGTTTTCCGGTGGTGAAGTCGAAGGAGCACGGAAGTGAACGCGGCCAATGTCAGGCGAACGACTGCACGCTTCGGGTTTGTGAGTGTACTAAGAGAGAAAAGGGAGACCAAGTTCGCGTTCCGGCACTGTTCCAAAGCTTCTCTCTCCCTCTCTGCAACATCCCGCGGCTGTCACTTCTTTATAAGCGGCTACGGGGGGAGCTAGCTTCAAGGTCGGCTCGCCGGACGCCAGCGCCCCGCGGAACCGAGAACGCACAGACGCGCCGCCGGAGGAGGAGGAGAGGTGACTGACGCGTTGACGTCAGGGGTCACGTGGCGCTTCGGTGCCTGTTTATGTTTGCCGAGCCCTCGCCACTTCCTCCACAACGAATGCACTGATACTCGTAGCTTTTCTGTGTACTTGTACGCCGTTTTGTGCCTTTTTGCTTCGATTACGTTGTTTCTTCTCCTCTCAAGGCAACGAGCGATCCCTGCCCGCCACTTTCACTTTCACCGGTTCGAGAGGTTGTTGGCATCAGAAGAGCGTGCGTGCGGGCGTCCATAGGGACCGTATTGAATCTTTCCCACGAATGCTGGTGTGTGATGCGGCGGAGCGAGTTGGAGAACGTAACTGTTGATACTCTGCGGGGCTTGGTCGTGGGCTTTCTCTTACAAAAAAAAGGAAGCCGCCGAGGCCTTGTAGCACAGGCACCGATTGGTGATTCGTTTTCCGCTCTTGTAAACAACGCGAGCTGGGTGACATTCCTCGTTTATCGGCGGCGCTCTCACCGGAACGAAAACTAAGTAAACACGTTGAGAAATGCGTGCGAGGATGTAAGGAATACCGGGATGAGGGGAAGATGAGAGGACAAGTCGGGGGCGTCGTTATGGCAACAAAAGGCCTGTCCGGCCGTGCCTCGGCGCGTGCGGTGCTACCTGTCAGGACAGCATCGATTACTGTTGGGGGACAGCAGAAGAGCGAGACAGTGACCACACAACACGCACCAACATGTCGCTGACTGTAGAGGTATTATTTATTGTTTTTTTTTTGCCGTTGCTGAGAAATAAGGAGTCCCTAAATGTGTGTCTGGCTGTGGCCTTTTAAACCTCATTCTTCCAGAAAACAACAACGAATAAGAGGTGGTTATACGCGGCATTGCCTAACGATGGCAGCCATGCATGTGAACCATTTCGCAGAATGCTACCATAATCCTCTGTGTTGTGGCAAATAGGTGTGACCCCCCCCCCCCCCACCCCAAGAACGCACTTCAGAGGTATTCACGCTAGGACGAGGATTAGAGCTTGCGGAAAATAAACACGCAACTTTTGCAGTTCTAGTAGAGAGCACAGCTCTTGTACTCCGGTGCCACAATCCAGGTAGAAGTGTATCTTCTCTCCAGCGAAAGGCTCCAAGCTGGACTCTTTGCTCGACTCCGTTGCCCTGGTCCTCCTTCTGGGCCCTTCAGTGTTATGGCTGAACGATCAGCTACTACCGCTGGCTCGAGTATCGGTTCAACCATCACCATGAAGTGCGTAGTACAGGCGTCTCCTGTCTACCAGGTGGCATCGGCACGAACACCCTCTGATAAAAACGGTTAGATAGTGGCTGGACAACAGTTCATCTAACTGATTATCCTATTCCTTTGAAGTATATCGGTGGAAGCTGATAAGAGAGGTATTAGAAGTGGCCTCCACCTCACCGCGTAGGAACCTTCTGCTTTGTTGTCGGTCGGTTTGTATTTCCTGGAGTCATGTTAAACCTGCTAAAATTGAAATGCTATTTTAGTCTATGTATGGCCCTATGCGCTGTCCACCTATAGTGGCCTCTACAGGTAGTGGTCTGCTGAATTAATACAGAAATGATAATCGAAAGCTAAACTAAGTGAACCAAATAAAATACTATGTAGGAACCGTTACTATAACGTAACGCGTGGAAAACTGGATCACTCCAACTTGACGTTTTCTGGTGTAGTCCGGCTTGGGAGACAATGTAACTTCAGTGAGGGAGCAGCGATCTTTCATAATATGTTACGAGTCTCACCTCCTTATAATTCTTGGCGCGGCGTGTCATCCTTTTTTTTTTTTTCGCTCTCTAATATTTTTCAACGGAGAAAGGAGGAGGAGGGTGAACGAGTTCTCGGGGGGTCGCTCAACCAAGGACTGCGATATAAAGCCCGCTTTGCTATTAATATTCAGATAAATTGTATCCTTTTAACAATATCGGATAACAGGGCACCTTCAAAACCGTATATACTCCCAGTGCAAGTTACTGCTCGCTTACCTGTTTTGTTTTGCTTCCTACATTGTAGGTTCGATATTACGAAATTTCAGCCCTTATTATTATTGGCAAAAAGACCGGCAGTAGCAAGAAAACGAACAACTGCGCAGCTTTATCTTAAGCTATATTACAAATGAAGGTGCAATTATTGAGCTGAACATCTATAGGTATGATAATACGTACCTCAATGAGTCGAATACGATGACTGAACAAAAAGCTGCGTCATAAGCATCATTTTTATATTGAAAAACTTCTCTTAATAATCAGATGGTTATCATCTGATTATATGGAATGCACTTCTCGCGAGATGAAGCAGATAACTATAAATATTATACTTAGTCGATAGCCATCGTGATTCATGCAATTTCACTAGATCTGGGTGATCACGCAGAGTTTGAACTTACGTGTGTGGGGCCATTGATTATGCTCTTTATTATTTGTGCCCAAATTTTTATCAGGCTATCTCCACAACATTGAGCTTGTTCTTCATTTCAGAACTGCTACTGCAGATCATAATCAAATTCGTCTTTTCGTCCACTTTTGCGTTTCATTCGCATTCGTATTGCCATTGCTACTGACTGGTAGCAATGGCAATACGAATGTGAAGATACGAAGATATGTGGCGTTTAACGCCCCAAAACCACCATATGATTATGAGAGACGTTGTAGTGGTGGGCTCCGGAAATTTCGACCATCTGGGGTTCTTTAACGTGCACCCAAATCTGAGCACACGAGCCTACAACATTTTTGCCTCTATCGAAAATGCAGCCGCCTCAGCCAGGATTTGATCCCGCTACCTGCGGGTCAGCAGCCGAGTACCATAGCCACTAGACCACCACGGTGGGCAATTCTCTACGTGGCCTCTGAGGCCCGAGGTCTCAGGGATACTTGGGTACACAAAGTTTACCCAAGGAATTCATCAGGGCACACAAACGCCTGAACGCGAGGGTCATTATGACACATCTATGTCATAGGTCAGGGTCGCCTCTAGATTTCTTTTTATCTCCTAATTATTTTTTTTTGTTCCGCATCAATTTCTGACCCACCTCTTATAACAAGTATGAGATATTTCCCAGCTGTAATCAAATCTCATCAGTTACTGCGACTTCCATGTGCTCGGGAAGTCGAACGGTGCATGATTGTTCTATTGCCATACATGTACAAACCAACAAAAATAAGAAGCTTTCAAACCTGCCAGAGTCACCTTGGGGATAGGTTGACAATTCGTCGGCATCGGCAACCCACCCGCCGCCATTCATGCGGGACCACTCCGCGCGATACGTGTCCTGATGAGCTCACTCGCGTTACGACAACCAATTGCGAGCGATGACGCGAGCAGAACTGGCAGCGTACATGCACCAATATTTGTCAGTAGTTCCGTGCAACTTCGTGAAATCAGATCCATAAGTTATTTTATCTACCTTGCTAACTATACCGATGAACATTCTAGCGCCAACATTGAATCTCAAAGGGTAACGCTTGTTTTCTGCAACTATGTTCTTTCTGACGTTTTTTCAACACCTGGCGAAACGCGTCCCCTCCTCACCAAGGACGGGGGCTTAGCAGGAGGAGAAAAACACGTCACGTGTGCATGCGTGTTCGCTGAAAGATGCGTGGCTAATGTGATTTTCTTAGGTGCACAGTCGCGCTCAATATGAGTTGCATCACGCAGTGCAAAAAGTGGCACCTAAAAAAACTGAATCAAACTCTCTCAATTAGCCATACTTTTTGAACCACTTCAACTTTAGTAGGTGTCATTGTTCAAACTTGGGGTCACGTTAACCACAGTCAGCGTGCTGCAACTCGTATTGAGTGTGGCTGTACGTGGCCTTGTAAATCTTCCAGGTTAAGAAGAACATGGCGGCAGACCCGGCTGCGCGTGAGAGATCGTCGGGAGAAGAAGCAATTGTCAATACTTAGGCCAAAGGGAAACATTTGGCAACCTTATTGTGGTAGGTATACGAGTGCCTCGACCAATCACGAGAAGCGAACTCATCTGTACATTCGTGCTTTATCGTTCCGCGTCTTGCTTCCGGCTCGAGGATCCCAATTTTCAAGCCTCGTTGCCTTGGCCATGCTGCATTGAACTACTCAGACAATGGGTTTGGTTTGCGGAGTAAGCAGACTGTCGTCGCCATTGTTCGCTTACTCGTGACTTGTTCCGTTTCGATGCATTTCGTCACAAGCGGTGAAGAGTACTCCTTGGGCGACTAACGCAACGCACAAGTTAAGACCCTGAGTGAAGGTGCCGGGTCCTCAGTTTTTTTTTCTTTGCACCTCATCTGCATATTGAGACAATTCGCACTTGAATTACGTTGAGGACGCAAGAAAAAAAAAACAATTGTGGCGGCAACAACGGTTTTCTTGCCCCGCCGCAGTGATCTAGTGGCTAAGGTACTCGGCTGCTGACCCGCAGGGCGCGGGTTCGAATCCCGGCTGCGGCGGCAACATTTCCGATGGAGGCGGAAATGTTGTAGGCCCGTGTGCTCAGATTTGGGTGCACGTTAAAGAACCCCAGGTGGTCTAAATTTCCGGAGCCCTCCACTACGGCGTCTCTCATAATCATATAGTGATTTTGGGACGTTAAACCCCACATATCAATCAATCAATCAACAACGGTTTTCTTTTGTGTTCTAGCTTCGAGGATTTAGTAGATCGTTTTTGTTAAGATTACGCCCACTTCGGGAACGTCACAGATAATTCGGAAACCTACGTCGCCGCTAGCGATAACGCTAGAATATTCGATGAGAAGGGTATAAATGCCGACACGCTTCAGCGCTTGTCAGTTTATCGGCGGCTGACGCTGCATTATATCAGTGCAAATGTGCTACTATAACCCGACCTTCCGTTTACCGGCCACAGGTTCGCCCAAATAAACAGTTTCATCTGACCATCCAGTCTCCCGTCTTC